AGTAATGTATTTCAATGTTTGTAAACGCATACAAATTTTATTTAATTTTAATTTTAACCATAAGTTTTTCAAGTTAAAAATTTTATCATAAACAGTTTCTTCTAATTTTTTTAATATTAGGAGGGAAGAAAGATTGGTTGGGATGTAAATAGGAATTATATGTGTGTTAGATATATTATTAAAATATATTATATAATTAAAATATAAAATACTTTATTAACACTGTAAAATATTTCTCAATAATAGTTTCTTGATAAAATAGTATTATTTACATTATAATAAATCAATGATTTGCAGATAAAACTTATTTAAAAATACATGTTGAGGCTCAATTAATTTGAATTAAAGAATCGTCCATAATAAAATATTGCGAGATATTACATTTTTATTATAGAACGATATTTTGAACAAAATTGAAGTTAATTTACAAAATAATATATACATGAAATAATAATTAATTGTACTCAAATTCAAATAAATTCAGTCTTCGATATTAATTTTATTATTGTAATATATGATTAAGATTTTGTTAAAATTTTTAAATTACGAGAAATCCATTTTAGTATTAAACAATGATTTGAATGCAAGTAAAGTTTTATTATAATTTTCATTCTTTTTAGGTCTTTCGGATATTGGTTGAACAACTATTTTTTCAAAATTTGATAATAAATCCAACTGCTTAATGGAACTCTTTTTTACAAATTGTTCCATTTCAGATTGTTGCGTTTTATCAAAAATAAAAGTTTGTTTTATTCGATTCATAGCCTCTTCTATAAAAAAAAAATTATAATTAATAAATTAATATTTAATTTTTTGAAAATAAAATCAAATGAAAAAATATATGAAAAATTCTACGAAAAAATTTAACTTAACAAAAATATTAAAAGAATTGAAATTTACTGATGACCGAGAGCAAATGAGTAAGCAACAAAGCGGAAATATAAAAATTCTCGTGGACCGATAAATAGGGATAAAATTAAAATAACTCGTATCATGTGGTAAGAATAAAAAAAGATAGAAAAATGATATCAATAAAGAGGAAGTTTAAAATTTAATTTCATTACACTTTTTCTAACGCAAAATATATTTATACTTACGTTCATTTTCATGAAGAACAAAATTTTCGAAAGTATTTAAATTCCTCATAAATAAATGAAAGGAATCTTCGATATCCGTTAATCGAATTACAAAATCAGGGTCACATATTGCCAAATGTGACAAAAATCTTATTCCGTCTCTTAATACTTTTGATTGTTTCTTTTTCATAATTGACCAAGCATTTTCGTCTAAAAACTTATCCTGGTATATTTCACCTATACACATTTTATTTGTTTCCATATTAAACAGCGAGTGTTTCGTACAAATGTTCTTTAAATTACAAGAACTTTTCCTTTGTACAGGGAAATTATCTGGATTAAAATTTCCAATGGCAGCTAGATTTGCTTCAGAACACTTACATAATGTTTTAATAGTGAATCTTAACAATTTCATACAACAATTACAAGAATTCAAAGTTTCAGATCTCAGAGGAATAATATCCGTATGTAATATATATTGTACAATTTGTAACAATATATCCGTAATGTCAATTGCAGATAATATATCAAAGTGATAATTCTCCTCCTGTGCTAAAAGGATTTGTAGTGGACAAGCATCTGAAATAGATATGATATGATAATTAATTTTTAAAAATAGATTATGATTTATTAAAAAAAAAGATTATTTTACCTGGAGTAAAATGTAATGAACCTTTCCAATTGTTCACTGCCATTGATTCTATAATAAAAATAATAAAGTAATTATTTATAAAATATAAAAAAATTTATTAGGTTTATCATTTAAAAATATTAATATATAATAAAATAAAACTAATAAAATGTATATTTTTCATATGAATCATAAATGTTCATTATTAAAAATTACATACGTGAATTAATACAAAGTTTCTTTAAATAAGTTGTAGACTTCACAAAAATCATCATCAAATTATTAAGTAATGTATAACAATATGGCAAAGGTCTACTAAATATTATTTCTTTAAATATTTGATAAATATATTCCATTCTGGAACAAAAAATTTTAAGTTAAAAAAATTTAAAATATATTAATTTATTAAATATATATATATATCAGTTACATGCCCTTCAGAACAATATTGAACTTTTTCATGAACATTGTAAATAATCATCATAATTGCACATATAACACCACTAAATTGATGAGATCTTCTCTAAAAATAAATAATAAAACTTTAATATTAATAATTATTTATTCTTTTAAATTATCAAAATATGTATCATTAAGTAATGTACATTACCGTAGTCCCAACTAAAACAATGAACTGCAATATCATTTTAAGTATTTCAAAATCTTGACTCTCTTTCAACCAAGTATTGTAACGAACCATTTGACAGGAATAACGTTTATAAGACTCATCTCTCTCTATGAGTAAACGTGTTTTTCCTGCAATATACTTGCTAAGATAAGTTGATTCCACACTTACATACGATAATACGCCAAACACTCTTCTAATTTCAACACCACGTTCACATTCGTGCCATGCATTAGCAGAACACACGCATTTTCCATTGAAGTCAGAACTCGAATATAAAGAAGAAAAATAAATGTCATTCATATCTCGAATATCGTCATTCTTCATAGCTTGGGAAATCGTTTGTAGAATAATTATTACATTTAAAATTAATTCTCTTGCAGTAGAAATTAACTAAAAATATAATTATTAGTAAATTTGTATATTGTTTAATAAAGTAAACTTAGTATATAAAAATAATTTACTTTATTTATTAATGGTATAGTTTCTTCTGCCTCAAGTTCTAAACTGGTTTTTCGCTGAAGAGCAATTATTTCTGGCACAATAAATTCCACCGATAATTTTTTATCGTCAATCATAGTCGTTATTGGTTTTACTAATTCTGGATTTTCTATAAAATATACAAAATAGTTAAACTCTGAATGAAGTATATAATTTAAATAAAAATATTACCGAATATTCTTGATGTATCTTCTTCTTGTAAAATTGGCAAATTTCGTCTTCCTATTTTTTCTATAATCTGAATATCAACTATAGATTTTTCTGGTTGTGGTGGATCGTATATTGATTTTGGAATTTCTGCAAGAGGAAAATCTACAACATGTTCTTATTAAATTTATTCTTATGAATTATAAAAATCATACAAATTAATATTTTTTGTATTAACTTATAATCTTCTTACATGGATTCCATATTTTGAGAAAATGATTGCTTTTATTAATCATTTTACTAGTTTGTACATAAGTGTCTTTAACTTTTATTGATTTCATGATTGAAACTGATGATCTAAAAATAATTATTAAATATTTTCTTAATATTTATCTTTAAAAAAAATATTTATTATTATATATTTTTAATATTTAAAGAATTATTTACCGATTCTTTGGCGAACTAAATTTATTTTTATTCATAGAAAGATTTAAATTTATAGTATGTGGTTCTGTTAATTTAATATTTCCACTTTCTAATAATTTACAACGTTCCATTAAATTTCCTATTTCAAATGTCTATAATAAAAAGAAAAAATCAGAATATATTATTTAAAATAGAATTATAAAAAATTAATTATCAATAAATTACTAACTTGCAATTCAAGTTGTGTTTTTAAATTTTCCTTTTCTTTACAAATAGTATTAATTTCCGATCTATGTCGATTTTCTTGTTCTTCAATAAAACGTGTTTTTTCCAATCTATCATTTTCTGCTCTTAACTGAGTTTGTTGCAATTGGTTTCGTAAAAATACAGCTTCTCCTTCTTTAGTTATGAAGTCATTTAATAACTTCTGATTTTCATATTTTAACTTCTCCAATTCTTTTACATATTCTAATTATAATATTATTTTCAATAATATACAAAAATATAATAAAATATTATGATTTCCTAAGAAACTTATACTTACCTGCAGTAACATTGTCATCTAATTTAAATGTTGAATTATATATTTTTTTATTTATTAATTTATCTTCAAACTCATTATAATCAACAGAAACTACAGTGCTTATATCTTTTATGTTTTCTTCTTTTCTTCTTTGATTACTGAATACATGTGCAGAAGTTTTTGATACTTTATGATCATTATTATTTAAGTTAATTTTACTAGTAGATGGTATTGCATTATCTATAAATGTTTTTTTATCTATATCTAATTGACTTATATTATCGTCCTGAAAAATAATATGAATATAATAAATAAATTTATATATTAAAAAGCCATAAAAGGATGTAATATAAATAAAACCTGCAAACAAGCCTGAGTAGCTATAAAATCCATTTCTTCAATATCCTCTTCTGCAAAATCATCTCCCCAAACATCATCTCTTCCATATTTTTTATTTCTTGAATCTTTATTATTTATAGAAGTATCTGACAAACTCTCTTTCTTTATATCATACTTTGGACGTTTTGCAGGTAGAGAAAATTCATTTTCACCATTATTTTCTACTCGTTTAAACATTTTAATTTGTTTACAATATTTAACAATATAAAAGATAAATTTAATATATTTTTTTGCCAATTCTTTATATTCAATAAAAGTTATTTATATAATTTAAATGAATAATTTTGTTTATTTAAAATTAACAAAATTGTTATTTAATAATTTTGACGAATGCTACATTTTATTCAATCTGGAAATTCAATAAATAATTATTATAAAATATCACATTTCTTTTAAATATTGATTCATTCTAAATTCTAACCTTTTAATTATTTTATGATTTCTTTTAATGATATTAGAATAATAAAAATTCAATAAATATTTAAGAACATTATTCTTCATTCTTATTTATTAATTTATTATAAAAACTTGTTATAATAATTAGAACATTTGAAATTCATTTCAAATAATTATATGACAGAAGTTTGCTTACAAAACGTATTAAGAGTGGTAATACTGTCATTCAATGGAATAGTCTATATTCGTTAGTGAACAAAGGAACGCGCGGAAATACTTTCAAATAGTGTACTTCGGACGGTTATTTTGCAAATTAAACAATATATTATTAAATATTAGTGCTTATATTTCATTTCAGTCAAATTAATTTGCTTCAAAATTATTGTAAAATTGTAGTTTTATAAATTCTTTCATTGTATTTGCATAATTTTTCAAAAATTTTACAACTATCTTCTGATATTCATAGTGTTTTACAATTAAAGAAAAATAGAATAAACATAATTTGTATATAATTGTGTTATTGTGTTAAGATTTTTCTTCAAGGATAAAATTTTTTTTCATAAAACAACGAAAGGTATGTATACTTTTTAGTAATAAATAATTTATTCACTTAAAATGTTATCCAAAATTTAAATTTAAAATTTATGCTAATTTTTTTTACAATTCTAAAATGTTACACATACATAATATAAGTAAATATATATTAAATATATAGTGAAAATATAATATTTCAATAGATATGAAAAAAAAATATAATTATCCATAAAATTTATCCATTTTTGTAAAATCATCGGATTTAAATCGAGCAACGAATATTTCTGGCGCCATATTGACTTCTGCATCGATCTTTTGAAATATGTGACTATTACGCGTATTATTTTCATTGAAAGCATTGATTTTTTGTGTATTTGCAACAAAATCAGTTCTTTTGATTGAATCGCCATGATTTTCTTCGTCAGTATACCATTGAGATATCATTTCTTTAAGTGGTTGCAAATGATTCACATTTTTTTTAACCTTTTCCAATTCTTCGTTACAAAGTCGTTCTACTTCCATCAATTTTTGTTTGTATGCGTTTGCAACCATTTTCCATCGAGCATTGTAACGTTTCTCTGCTTGGCTAAAGGAATATTCATCTTGATATTTAGCTAACCTTTTTTCGTATTCAAGTATTGTCAATTCTCTAAACGTATCCTCAGAAGTAATATCTAAAAGATCTCCTATCATAAATTAATCGATCCTTTGAATATTTTTAAAATATTTTATGTTTTATCTTCTAAGAAAGATTACCTAAATTGTTAGACAATGGTGATTCAGCTGCATAAGCTGCTGCAGCTGCACGTGCAGCTGCAGTTGCTTCTTCCAAAGCCAATTCATCGTCTTTTTCACGTAAGAGTTGCAATTCTTCTCTTTCCTTCTTCCAAAGTTCTATTTCCTTTTTTAATTCTTGTTTTAAATTTTGCATCACTTCACTAAGAGACTCTATGCGTTCCCGAAGAATACAACTATTAATTACGAAAATTATTCAATAATATAACATATAATTGTTCTTTTTTTGATTAAAAAAAGAAAGTATTACATACTTTATTAGAGTATTACATACTTTAAATCTTTATCATCTTGATCATCCTCTGCTAATTGTGTACCTTCTAAAATCACAGAGTCTTCTGGCTGTTCGAGAACAGCCGAAAGTTTCTCTAAAGAATCATCGTTTTCAGAAACGCGGTCATAGTTTGGTAACACACTTCCAAGATCTAATGTTAAATCAGCTTCTGCTAAATCTTTTTTACCCTGTTCTTCATCCAATATTTCTTTGCATTGATTATCAACATTTTGTATGCTGTCCGAATTGCTCGAACAATCTGTTGAAATTTCTGTCGATGACAAATGTTCGTTTTCCATTATGATAATTTCTTTGTTCTTTCTTAAGATTACTGATTTGACAAACTTTTTAATCAAAGATGGATGGTTATTTAAAAATCTAATTGATTGAAGTTATTTCTCTTTACATACTTCATTTTATGATATGATATTGTTTCTTCATTATGCTTTTTAAGTTACTATAAAAAATAAAATTCTATTTATGTTTACAAACATTGTATATTAGTAAGGATAGATATTTAAGGTGAAAGATAAAAATATTGAAAATAATTTTCTATTCTTTCTATCGCTTTATGAGAACGATACAAATATTTAAGTTGAAGTTATTTCTACATTTTCTTTCTGTACATTTTTTATCTATATTTATAATGCTTGTTTCTAATCATAAATTATCTAAAATTCCAAAAAATAGGTATGTATGCTACTTAGGCACATAAAATTTTTGATATAAGATGACGGTAGTGAGTGACCTCTTCTATCATTGGTATCGATACTATGCTAGTTTAATAGGTTATTATTGATTTTTCTTTATTAAAGTCATGTATTTAAAGAAATCGATAATTTTTCTGCGATAGAAATCAAATATTTGTTGATTATAAATAAATTTAATAGATGAAATTATTTTCGATTAATTAAAATCAGACTTTCTGTCATAGATGCTAGTTATATTAGTGTAGGTTATGTGCATTGATTTTAATGAAAGAAGGAAAATATATTTATTAAAATACAAAAGTGTTGATTTTTTGTATTAGAATCTTTTTAAATTAGTGACAAAATTTTTTTAAATTTAATAAAAGAAACTTATATTTTGAAATATAATGACGGAAAGAGGTTAATATAAATTTAAATATAAAAGGATTTATGCAAATATCCTTTGTATCAAGGTTTTTTATTATCAAAAAACATGTTTGTATACCTCTGGTCACTAGTGTGCTCGTATTTCAGACCAGTTATAAAATGGTTATTAAGGCATACAACGCAAATGTGCGAACTTCAAAGAATTTGTTATGGAGAACTCCCTGGAGCACCAAGAACACTAGCTGTAGAAAAATCTCTTAAGTTATCTAAAAATGCAAATATCAAAACTCTTTTAATCTACTTGAATGATCTTGCTGATCGATGTGCATTTACAAATCAAGCAAAACGAAAAATTGTAAAGGAAGCTATTGAAAGTGTATTGGTAACTAAGAAAATAAATCCAGCAGCTCATCCTGATTTTTCTAAATCATTTGGTAAATGTATAGAATTAATTTGGGGCTATAGACAACTTTGTGTGGAATGTGAAGAGCTTAGGAGAACACCTTATGATGCTGATAATCCAGATCATGAGTTATTATTATTAAAGTTATGGAATTTATTAATGCCATATGAGCCTCTAGATGCTAGAGTTACTAAACAATGGCAACACATTGGCTTTCAAGGTGATGATCCAAAAACTGATTTTCGTGGAATGGGAATTTTGGGATTAGAAAATTTAGTTTATTTTGCTCAGGAATATCCCAGTGCTGCAACACATGTATTATCGCATTCTACACATCCACGTTATGGTTATGCATTTGCCATAGTTGGCATAAATTTAACAAGTATGGCATTAAAATTACTAAGGGATGGAAGTGCTAAAACTCATATTTATAATTCTTCAAAGGGTTTTCCAACAATTCGTGCATTTCACCAATTTTATAGTTATCTTTTCTATGAATTTGATGGATTTTGGATTGACTCAAAACCAAGTAATATGATGGAATTTTCATGTATACAAGAAAAGTTTGAAAATAGTATCAGAATGGCACTAGCTGACACATCTATGATTTTTAGGATAAATATATCAGTTGATAATGTTTAAAATATATGAAATATTTTTAATTAATAAAACTAAATCGTGATCACAGTAAATATACTATTGCACAAAACTACTTCTATAATATGTAAAACAGTGTCTTGTGAGCGAATAATAGCATTATTGTGAACTATGATGATATTAAGACATAAAACAAAGCAATTATTTTGAAATTATTAAGTTACAGAAAGATACAAAGAATTTTAATACATTTGATATCATATTTTTACTTTATTTTTTTACTTGCAATAAAAAACTAATAAAGGAAATGTATTGTTACCTAATGAATGTGAAACAGTTTACATTCAATCTTATTTAACAAAAATAAGTTAAAGTACAACGTTTATCCAAATAAATATGTTACTTTCAATTTTATTTAATTTTTAAATAGATCTGTGTATAATATATAAGGTATTTTGTTATATTAATTCAGATTTTTTTTATGGGAAGAAAAATACCATGATATAATAGATATTTTATCATGTATTTAATAGCAACAATTTTCATTTAAAAGTATTTATTGTAAAACATTTGTTTAAAAAATGATAGATTTGCAATGACTATTACACATGTTTTATATGAAATAAAAAATGCAATTATTAGAAATATAGACGTATTTTTATCTTCTATTTATATTATGGGCACTAATCAAATATAATAGAATTAGAAAAATAAAAGATTATGTAACTTGTTAAATATAAAAATAAAAGTTGTCTTTAAGTAAAAAATTTATATACATATACATATATATATGTATGTATGTATGTATGTATGTATATATGTATTGTGCTTTATATAAAATTAGAAATACTAATAGTTGACAGAGTACCCATAATATATATCTTTGGTAAATAAAACAATTAGTCCTTCTTTTGTGGAACCTCAGTTTTACGTCTAAATTTAGAAGCTACAGAAATGATAATAAATACACCAATTGTTATACTACCGAGTTTCATTATCCACGGATTTTCACGAAGGAAATTTGCGATCATTTGTACGAGATCATCGCTAAAAATAGAAATTTTTAATCAGAATTATTCTAATAATTATAATAATATCCGCTTATAAAAGGCTGAATCTATTAATAAATGTGTTCAAACTTACAATGGGCTTTGTGGTACGGGAACAGATTCCGCACGTGCGTTTTTATACCATTCTTTTGCAAATGATACAAAAGAGTTAATATCATATTTTGTAATCTGATAACGATACATTTTTCCATGTCTAAATCTACAAGTACAAAATAAATTATGTTAAATATTGTAACATCATTATATTATTAATCCTTTTTATTATTGTAGATTTTTACATTATTATTATTGTTTATTTCTTAAACTATATACTTACAATATAAATTCAGGAGCTTTATAAACATTAAATCTTCTTGCTGTAGATGCTCCAGTTGTATATTTATCAATACGTGCTACATTAACCCTTTGCTTTAATTTTGCACCTACAGCTTCCCATCTTGCAATCATTCTAACACATTCCACACAATCTGTACTGTAACTATTTTAAAAAATATATATATATATATATGTATATATTAAATATCTTTAAAATAGAGTATATAAAATATTAGGGAAAATTAACACTTACAACATAACAAACCAATCTCCAGTTGTAGCTCCACTACTTGCTTGAGTTAAATGTTCAAAAGTATCATCTGTTAGTTCTTTTACTGTAGGTTCCTTGTTTTCAGTAAACATAGTTAAAATTTCTTCATCATTTAATGGACCTAAAAAATATTAAATGTAAATTTATAAGTCAATGAAGATATTTTTTATTAATAAGTATACCATCATAAAGTAAAGGCATTCCGTGTCTGAAAAATACAAGTGCTGGTTCTTTGTCAGCACTATAGAGACGAAGCAACTGACTATCAACAGCTTTTATAACCCAGCTTGATAATGAATTTACCAAATCTTCTCTTAAATGAATCAATTCATTTTCATAGTTATCACATGTTGTACAATCCTTGCTCGCTATAAACATATGAGATACATATTTAAATTAATAAAATTATAATTTTATATATATATATATATATAAATCATCTTGATGAATCAACGTTTATGCTATGAAAAAAGAAGGAAGAAAAATTTAAATTATAATTTTAAATCAGAAAGTTAGGCTAAGATTGTATAAAATTAATGAAATTGATTTTTTATTGATTTTTCATAAAATATATTTTTAAAATTTTTGTATTAATTAATTATGTATTATAATTTAAAAGATTTTTGTAGTTAGATGAAAGGATAAATTTATATATATATATACATATATGTATATATATATGTATATAGATATATATATATATACATAAATTAAAACTCACAGAAAAGTACGACCACATATTTTTCAGTTTTTATGAGATTTATAAGCTCTTCATCACTCACTGTTTCGAGATTCGCAGAATAAACGTCAACAAAACTACATATCAAGATGAAAAATATGATTCGTAACATTTCGTATTGAATTAGATCAACAATATTGTATAGAATATTTTCACGGACAACTCGTACACGTCAAAGAGGTTAACATTCATGTTCTACTTCATCTTATTTCATTTTCTGGTGTAACTGTTTTAAATCAGAGAAATTGTCATTTATTTTCTATGTTTCTGTGAATAATCTAAAATTAATTAGATTATTCTATTACTTATATTTTCTGAGATTTATAAAATTTTTATGTTGAAATAATTTTTCATAAACGCATTCAAAATATTCAAAATATCTTATGATTTTAAAATAGCAAAGAAATTATAAAAAATAATAGTATTTATTTTATATTTCAATTTATTTTATTAAATAAAAATAGTTAACATAAATTCAAATTCTGCATATATATAAATATATGCAGAATAATAAAATATAGCTTTATATACATAGCTTTATTCATATTATTTTTTCACAAATTTTTGAAAGATTTTTAAAATAGATATTTATTAGTTTATTTTATTACATACTATTTTATTTTAAGGATTTTTTTTAATTTTTAACTGTTTGTTCTTTATATTCTTAAAAAATTTTTATGTTTTCAAATTTCTTTCTGAGAACAAAATAATACATGAAAATATAAAAAAAAAGATTTTTTAAGAAGAATAACATATTTTGCACATTATATTTTATGAAAATAAATTGAAAACATGAAATTTTTCAATGTTTTATTATACAATCATTTCAATATATAATATTTTATAATTGTATAATATATTTAAAAATACATTTAAAATTATAATATATTCAATATATTGAAATAATCTTTTAACATGTTTCGTTTTTAACAATTCAGTCATTTTTTAATTATTATTTGTTAAATAATCTTCAATTTAGTAGTCATGTATAAAAGATCATTATATATGATGACATGTGTAGAAGGTTAATAGCACGTGATAGTTATCTCTAATCGTAACATGCAACGCTTGCTGAATTGATATCAACTATTTAACATATGTACAGTATGTACACTATTTTGTAATTGACGTATTCCACGAATACATTACAGAATAGTATACATAGAAATCAAAAATAAATCGCGCGATAATTTTAAACAGGAAAATTTATTGTAAAAAATTTTTCGATTAAAATAAATTAATTGATGTAATAACAAACAAAATAAATGTAATAACAATATAAATATTTTTTGATAAACTATAATAATAATGATGCATACTTTATTCTAAGTATTAACCAGTAAGTTGATAGCATGATAAGAGTACATTTAAATTTTAACTTTTTGCTTTGAGAAATTGCTCGTTGAATATCTTTACGATCTTTTTACTTGGGGTGCTTTCGTGAATCTTCACGGCCCTGGTCACGAATCAGAAGTCGAAGGTCGAGTGGTATAGTGGTAGATGGTAACGACGTAAATCGTGACGCATATAGTAACAATGTATGTCGAGGGGAATATGTTGGTATGTGCGGAATCGACGTCGGTAACCAGTACAGGGTGGCTGACTTCGTCGAAGCGACGTTGGGAAGAATTCACGGGGTGGTTAGTAGTCGCGTGCTCTCATCGTTAGGTGAGCAACTTTTGTATGGATGTAATCGGTTTACCAAGTATTTTTGCGACTTATTGTTACCCGTATCAAGATCGAGTTCTTGTTTTCGCGACACGCAAAACTTCTGCATCGTCGTGAGTATAAATATTACCTTTTGCAAAATACCACTGCATGAGGTTTTTAAAAAAAGAAGAATGCTAATTCTAATTTAATCCTAATTGAGGACAATGTGTACTTTACCAAATCAATGAACATCCATTGAATATTTAGGAATATAATTATTACTTTTCTTTTTTTAACGATTATTCAATATTTAAAATAGAAATTCTTTTGTAATTATTATAAATAGTATGTAGTATATAGATACTATATTTTTTTCGCAATGAACGAGGAATTTTTTTTTATTTTTTTATAGAGAAACTTGGTAACGTCATCGGTAATCGTATGCACGATGTTTTATTCAAAACTATTTAATTTTTTAACAGTTATCTCGAATCGAATATATGTAGATTCACGCCATATTTAATTCAGGAAAAAGGGAAACGATTTTGTATGGATATTTAAAAATAAAATGTTCAACATTGCAGAATTCAACAGTTTTATCTGCTTAATGGTCTCAGTTTTGAAAAGCATGTTCGCGATTCATTTTATTCGGAGGATTTAATTGTCTATGTTAATTCAAAAAATTGTTATGCTCATTTAAATATGAAAATTATTGTGATTTTCTTATTGAGAAATTCAATAGATTATAAAAATTTAAATACCGTATGAGATTATAATATCTCATTATTAAAAAAAAATTTTATTTTATAGGAATGATAGGAATTCTGTTTTCAAGTGGGATAATTTTAATAATATCATTAAAAAATATCCCAAAATTTTTTCATTTTCTTAATTAATTAATATATACATATTATATTATATATTTATATATTTGACAAATTGATCATTTCTTTTTTTACATTCTATTATATTTTTCATATTTTTATTCTCTTTTTGTATGTGCTTCAAATAGAAGCAAGTTTCAAAAAGAAATTAAAAATTTAATAATATTTAGATACATATAACATATATATATTTTCTCTCTGTATTTTTTATTTTACAGAATATATATATGAAATGAGAATTGTAACTACCTAACATATTTTTTTATATAATAAATACATTTTATAATATGTTAGAGAATGAAATGATTTAATCATTGAATTTTTCATGTATCGTTTTTCGTCATATTATTTTATATTTTCATTGATAACTTCATATTGCACAAAGATTGCAAAAAATGTGCCCTTAGAAAAAATATATTAAATGAAAAATATATTGAAATTGGCCATTATATAAATATTTCATGGATATCGATCTTAAATACATTAGAAGACTTAAAATTAAGTTCCACATCGTTCCATGTTAAAACTTAAAATTAGACTTAATCTACAGTAATCCTAAAATTTACAATCTATGCTAGACACTCAATATTCAGAACTAGTGGAATTTAGATTGGATTGCAAATTTCTTAAAACTGAAATTTAAATTACATTTTCCAAAATCCGGAAAAATTTAATAAAATGAATAACACATGATAATTTAAAATCTATATTAATATGTTTTTCTCATTTAAAAACAAAAAAAAAAAAGATGAAATTGCTTTTATTAAAATATATAATTATAAGACTTTTTATTAAAAAATCTTCATATCTTTGAACTTGATTCTCTATATTAAATTCTGAGTTTTAAAGGATACTTAATTTGAAGTCTTTTATTTCAAAAGTAGAATTTTTTTTATTAAAAATGAACATTCGAGAAAAAGAATATCAGAAACGTGAACAAGCAATTGAAATTAAAATCATGACGTAACCAAAACGAATGAGAATCGGGAACTTTATACGATACATTCCTGAAAGTTTTTTTAACGAAAGAATAATATAATTAAATATAAACTAGATGATATCATATTGAGATATTCTTTCGTGAGTTTCGAGAAATTATAGTATATATATTATCCCGTGCAGATTGATGTCGCATTTTCTGTCGAATAATATCTTGTTAAATCGATAGATGATAACGAGACCGAAATACTTTGTCGTGCAACACGAAGTTTTTAGTTTTTATTTCATTGATTTTCTTTTTTCCTCTTCATCCCTCGATTCGTCAGTTTCCTGATCAGTTTCTTTCAAGTTTCATCAGACAATTTCAATTAGAAACGAGTTCAATTTTTAATCGGTTAACTCTGTTAGTGAGAAACTTGAGGTAATGAAATTCAATCGGACGATAATTACCAGCGAAAATTAATTTACAATCTTAATACCATATTGAATTCTTAAACTATTAGAGTTTCGAATAAATCCAATTGGAGCGGATTTATTCGTTTCCTCCTAGCCACTTCTGAAGAGCATCTATTTGATTCATCAGAGGATCTGCTCATGTATTATGTATATGCGTGCTCCTTTACACGCGATGCTTATGATTTGTTCATCCTTTTATTAAGAGGAAGACAGCGGGACCGAAATGGCGCAGGATATCCCGAGGACGACGTACTTACCGGAAGTGGAGGAGGATGAAAGAAAGGAACGGGAACGGCGAACTGTTCAAGAGGGAACTGCTACGTGGAAACGACGAAAGGAGGAGTTGCAACGTCAAAAACACCGAGAACAGCGTGAAGTATGCGTCGTAAATGATTGTTACACGAAAGCTCGAGGATCGTTTACGTCAGTGGCCTTTGCTGCTGCTGACCACGACCCTCTTTAGGTTTATTTCGTTTCGTGTCGTTGTCCTTGATCGGATGAAGATCAATGCTGGCCTTCGTGTCGCCGACAAACCTTATTTTTTTCCCCTATCACAGCGTTTATTCGAAAGCTTGGCAATAACTGGTGGATTTACGAGCACGTGTGAAAGATTCGTAAAATTTAGGATTTTCAAGTGATCATATTGTTGTCCAAACGTATTTTAAAGTAGAAATGGAGTTATTTTAAAATGGCATAGTGATAGATAAAATTATATAATGTTTTTAGACTATATATTTAACTTTTGTTTTGCCGAAGTGCAACTTGATTATTTGAAGCGAAACGTTTTATCGAAAGATATTAAAATTTTCAATAAAGTAATGTACTATTACATCGCGATTCAGATTGTGCTTCCAATTGAAAATTTTTTTCTTCAACGAGATTTAGCGTAACATGTGAATTCTAAAACAGTTTTTTGTAATTTTAATTTGTATAAACCGTATCATTAGTAGCCGCGTTATAATTACTACATATACATGTATCTGGCTTGGTAGTTGTAAGAAATATTTCACTAACGAGCAGAAATGTTCTCTTCAAGTTTTAATGGAACTCGCTTGTACCTTTAATATTGGTCGAATTATATTTTTTATCCATCATTTCTGTATGGATTACATTTCACGACGCGATATATTATGACGAGTCAAATGATATTTACAATTAGATTTACAGGTCGATCTCTCTATTTAATTATGAAGAGGCATAATTTATTACAATTAAAATAATAATTTTAATTAAGATTCTAAATTTTCTTTCATTTCTTTTTAATAGTTTAATATACAGGATAATTTGTTCTAAAGAGAGATAATTTTTCACAATTAAAAAAAGATAAGAATAATAACTGTTTTAATTATAAATCTAAATTTTCTTTTAAAATTTTTTATTTTAATCTATAAATTAATATATATTAATATATCTCTTAAAAGTGTACAATTTTGTTTTAAAAAGGTTGTAAATATCCATTTTATGCATCAAGAATATTTATTTGTATAAACTCAAGCTTTTTTTAATCGTAAAGAATAATTTTGTAAAAGATTCATACATAAAAGTTCATAAAATTCAAAGATTAAAATATTCGAATTCGCAAAAGAATCTTAATTCAAAGTATTATTATGCCGTGTCAATGTCAGAAGATGATAGGTATTAAGATGAAGTAATTTATTTAATAATAAATTTATTCGTGAATTGTAATAACGAGTTAATTTGAATTTCAAAATTTGTGATCTGTAATTCTGACATTAGAAAATATACTTTTCTGCAAAACGGATTATTTCATGTTTTAATGAAAATGTTCTTGGTAAAACCAATTTAAAATAGGAATTTAAAACGTCTCGTTCTCTTTTTGTTTGAAAAGACATTTTCATCATAAAAATTCTCTCTTACATAACTGTGTGATATTTCGATATAAAGTTTCATGTAAAAAGATATTAAAAATATTATATTAAACGTTGAAATTATTTACATACGAGGCATTCAAATTAATTAAATAATATTTTTATTGAAGATATAATAAGATTTTAATATTAATTTCCATAGCGAACTCTTTAAAAAAGGAAAGTTGAATCTCTTTTGAATTTTTACTTGATTTTTAAAATCTCGATAAGCGTGAAAAGTAGAGTTTTGAAAGTAAGTCGTGGGTATTCATTCTTTAAAACAGTTATACGGACAATGTGGTCGCAATAAATGCGCAGTAGAAGTAATCCGTGCAGAGTCAGACATATAGAAGCCATAAAATAGTAGTAGTTGATATAGCATTCTTAATACAAAAATCAATTTTCGAAAATAATATTTATTATTTTTATATTAATTGCATATTCTTGCCTAATATAAATACATATATAAATAATTTGTAGATAAATGTAAAAAGATGTAGAAAAAAGAAATTCTTTTGAATATCTGTAAAAAAAATTATAAATATAAGAAAATATTTTTTAAAATGGAAATCAATCAAATAAAAAAATCAAGTCAATAACCAAATCTTTCTTATTCTTTTGCAGTTGCAGCAACTTTTGAAGAATTATTCGCCTTGGGGTAAACCAGGTGGTGGTGCTCCTTGTGCTGCGACTCTTAGAAAGAAAAACGTCCCTCTAGAACCTCTGGAACTATCAAAGTGTCACGATTTCGGTCAGGTAAAATTTTAAGGAATTTATCTATTATATACACGTACATTTAAATGATAAAATTTATTCGAAATTTTTATAAAAAAGAAAAAAAAATATTAAAGCAGAACAAATAGATATTTTATATATATTTTATATACATATATGTTTCATTACATTTGATGCGAATTCGATTATTTCTAATCAGATAATCACGTTCTTTTTTTATCTGTTACATGATTCGCTACGTTGCTTTTTATTCACTATTTTTACATTTGCATTTTCGACCGATAGATTATAGATTTTTATCGATCGATATAAATTCACGATAATAACAATTATTTTTTATTAAAACTGTTATTTATTCAATAGTATTAAAATAAAAATCCATAAATCGATTTTATGTGAATTAATAATTAATTTCAATTTTAATTCGTATTATTTAATCCTTTATTAATTAATTTTGATACATCAGATTAACAAATTTAATTAATTTCATTGATTCCTATTTCTTTATTAAATAATTTAATATTTCTCTAAAATTTACTCTCAATTTATATAAAAATATAAATTAATGATTTCCAATCTGAAACTTGTATTTAATATAATATTAGTTCTTGCAATATTGATAATTAATTTATTTTCAACTTTTATCAAACAAAATTATCACTTTTCTATTATAATTTAATTTCAAATATCAAGATTACAAAGATTACACAATCTTCTATTTCAGCAAAAGTTAAAACTTATATTATATCGATGGAATTTTATTTTTTATTCACATACTTACTCACTTACATTCCAATATTCGTACATAATGTATTGCCTTACTTTTTAATTTCGTTTCTCCACGAATATTTTCCTCTGATTAAAAATTATTAGAATCACGTGCAAATAAAATCCACAAGTTGGTTTAATTTTTAATAAAAATGTACGCTCTTTTTATTTCAAACCAAATGCTATTATTCAATGTCACACGAAACCTTGAATGAAATTTGTTTCATTTCCATGAAGTAACCGATATATGTGACTCGTATCCGCCACCAAACCAAAAAAAAAAAAAAAAAAAAAAAAGACCACGCGAGAAGGTAGGAACAGAAGGAGATCGCGAAATTCCGGGCACGAAAATCTGCGAATAATATTATTCCTCGACGTGACGTTATATACAAATATAAGTGGAAGGAAATGGGAAGGCTGGGTCGAAAGTTGTTTGCAAAATTAGGATTCCTTTGTTCGAGGAGAAACAACGACCAATTCGTGGCGAAGGATGTCGTTCTAATCCTTATTATCCTGCCACGAGAACCATTATCATCGTAAAGAACCGTTCACTTCTGCTTTCGGATAATAACCATGCAAACGTTTGCCTTCGATATGTTCCCAATGACGCAAGTAGACAACGTACATTCGTGATCGTGATTCGAGATCTAGTTCACAAACATTATTTGCAATTCAAAGTTACGATAAAAATGATATATTGTGTGCGACTCTTCTGTCTCGCACAAAGATATAATCTTCGATTTACGTATTGCATATTTTGTTCATCTTTGATTTTTATTAGGTAAGTTTAACGAAGATTAAAATAATCGAGGATTTAAAATAATTGAGGCTTTGATAATTTTTCAGAGAGTCGATTATTTTTTTTTTTTTTTTTTTTTTTAGAAAATTAATTTCTAAATCACGACAAATAAAGTATTAAAATGATGTAAAAATGAAAAAGAAAAAAGATCCTTTTACTACTAAATAGATAGTGGTGATGTGATAGTGGTGTGACGACAAGATATTGGGGGTTAATCACAGTATTCGTTGTCGCGGTTGTGTTGATAAAATCCGGTGATATCGTCGTCATATCAGCGACGTTGTCTTTCATTAACATCTCAAGCTCGTACACGAACCCTCTTCGCCGTCCCGTTTATGACTTTGATCGCCTTTACATCGATATTCTTATGTGCTTGTTAACGAGAAGGTTTTTCCACGGATAATTTTCGATCATTAAGGTAATTCGCTTATTAGGATGTAGACGTGAAAGTTTCACTCGTGTATTTTGCATAAATTTAAATTAGATTGTACAAATTGAGCATATCCATTGAGGAATCAGCTGGAAACGGAATTATCCATTTTCTTCGCATTTTCTTTCATATTTAAAATTTGTTCCAGTTTTAAATCCTTCACTTTTCCAATTAATTAATTTTTTTTCCAAGTGAAAAAATACTTTATACATTTTCTCGTATTAAAGGAACTAAAACATTCTTTTCGAGAAATGTTTATTTTTGTAAAGATTATAAAGAAGATGTGTTTGCAAAATTTTCAAAATTTCTATTTTATATCTCCGTTTAGATAATCATTTTGCAATTTCACGATCGAAATAATATCATAATGTTCGAGTTAGAATGAAAGAAAGAAGTCTCTCTTTCTCTCTCTCTTTGAAGAAATCTTATCCAGAATAATTATAACAAAGCAATGTTACAAACGTTTTAAAATAAATGGAGTTTGATTCATGGATGGATACGTTTTGGAGAAATTCTTTAATGGGCTTTCCTTGTACGATAAACGTGAAACGTGTTTTTTTTCTCGGCAATAACGTCGATAAAGAAAGAATGTCTACATGGTTAGGTGTTCTGCCCGTTTTCTGGACGTATCGCTCTCCGATCACGTAAAGTTGGAAACGTTTCTACCGGTATCCTAGCAAGAAAGTCAATTTCTCTTGCAGATACGGAAAACCTTTATATCGCGAGAATTTTCGAAGAAAATTCCAACGAAAAATTGGATGCAACGTCATCCCTTTGTTTCGGGAATTCGATGTTAGTCGAATCCGACCATCGAAGTTTTATCTCGAAAATTAGGTTCACACGAATAAGGATATAAAATATTGCGAACGAATCGAGGAATAAATTCACGCGTACAGAAATTAAAATCGAATTTTCTTTTCAGAAACTAAAACGAACGAGGATAAAAAATGTTTCTTGCGATGCGGATAAATTGAACATTCAAACAAGAAAAGTCCTAATGATCGAAAATTTCTTTTCTTCTTCGAAGTCGAAGTCGAGAATGATACGAATAAAGGTGGAAAAAATTTTCTAGCAATACGAGATAAATTGAACATTTGAAAAGGGGGGAATGGGGACAAAGTTTCTCCAAAAGAAAGTTGAACGATGAGTGGTAAAAATAAAGCAGTCAACGAGATAAATTCAACACTTGCGTGAATCAAAAGTACGAAAACAAAGTGGCAATCGAATTGCTTCAAGTTTAGCGCTCAAGTGATGAATTCGTCTCGAATATTAGGATACACCGGGTGGAATGATTTCAAGCACGTGCTTGAACAGTCAACTCGTGGATGTAGGAAACGAAGCTTGGAAACTGCTTAATATGCTATGACGCCGTGTGCTTAGCTGGCACCGCTCTGGCCCTGGGGTCGACCTGGTCCGGGTGGAGTTCCTTGGAGGGATCCCAAGTTGCTGGGTGTGCGCTTCCTCGAATCCATGGTACGCATACTTCCTGATGCGTTAGGTACTAGGATCCGCGATCAGCTTGTTAGGAAGGCTTCGTTTCTTGTTCTCAAATTACTTGCTTGTCAAATTTTTCGATTTTTCGTTTATTCGTATTCTAGAGAGATTCTAAAGTAGAACTAGAATTTGGAAGAGGCAATTGCGCGTAAAGCGAGTTTATACTTGGCAAACAGATAGAATTGAGTTTAATATAATAATAAATTTAAGAAGAGTTAAAATTTTAAGATTTATTTTATAGGATTTTTAATGATATTTAATAAGCTATAACGATTACTTTCTATTTATAAGATATAGATATAAAGAAAATTATATAAAGAATTATAGACAATTTTTATAGTTCAATATCCTCCTCTCGTGATCGATAAAAATAAAGTTTGGTTTACTCGAAGTTTCAATAGAATTTTTTCCAAAAGAAAGAAAGAACGTGCTCGCAATTTACCAGAGAAACTAATTAACTCGCGACAAACAATATTATAAATTACGTGTCAATTTACGTGAAAATTACGTTCAATTCAAATTCTGGTTATTCTTTCGTATCTCCCTATAATACATTCGTTTACAATACATGTTTCCTTTATATTATTTAGGAGATCGCTTAAACAAGTCGCCTCTCACCAATTCACCAAGTCTCTCGCCTGCCTGAACTTTTTCAGATCGATTGGACCGTTCTTCACGGCTTTGTACATAAACGCATCGAAACGTCGCTGGAAATTCAACTCTTCACAGATCAACGTGTAATTTCAACGTGTATATATATATAGTACTCGTAGCTATGATCGACATTCGCCTTTGCTTTTTAGCATCCGGGATGCATGACCCGGATTAACAGATGTTAATCGTCCGAGTGAATCCTGAAAACTGTAATTTAATCAAATTCCCGGCGATCTTTTCATCTTTGACCCGCGCCTTCAACGGACACGCAGGTTAAATCTTCAATTCGTAGGACGCAACGACGCGTATCGTTCCAGATTTTTTCCCTTGGACGGAATATATCATCGTACACGTTGGATGTACGGTGTAAACAACGTTTGAAGTGGAAATTAGCGTTTATATTAACGCGCTTTCGAGGAAACCGTGGTCGAGTTTCCGTGGAGACCTGGCGCCAAACCGAAGCCACCACGTGGGTTCCTTTCCTTTGGTTTTCTCTCCAAAACTCTTAATTTTTAATCAACGTACACATCGTTGAAACGGAGGAAATACGTAACCATGCCACTGCATGATAAACAAGCAACAATCCTAAAATTTAAACTGAAATTTATTAAGCTCGTTCTTCGAACTTCGACTCTGTAAACCCGTCTTGCTTTTTCTTCTTTCGTATTCCCCTCCTCGTCCCTCGAAGATTTTTCAAACGTCGAATCTTTGCTTCGTCCCAGATCATCCTTGTTATCTCTTTCTCTTCCTCACCGATGCTCGAATCTGTTTCTAGATTTATGGAAGGTTTTACGTTTTTCCCCCATAATAAACCTCGCACAGTCTAACTAACCAGTTAAGTGGAATGATGTTGATGAATGGACAAAGCAACGAACG